GGCTCTCCAAACGTTTTTGTGGCCGACACACCCCAGCAGACATGACCAGCCAGGGAGGAGAGTTTACGGGACCTGCAGTCCAGATGCATCTGGTGGGCCTCAGGTGGTCACCCTGGTTGTGCCAGATGGGCCTCTCATTGACAAAAAAAAGGCCACCCACCTTGAGAAAACTGGCCAAGCTGAAGTTGACGTTTCTCGACTCCTCCGGGATTTCGCTGTAACGAATGTTCACATGGGGGATGATGGCGAGGAGCAGGGAGTGCAAGACGTTATTGTACGACTCGGGGAAACGCTGAACTCTGGGGAGCTGAAGGATGAAAAGTGGCAGAACTCAGCGCCTCCTGATTCACAGAATATGACCCCCTACAAACCCATAACCGTCAGCCTACAGAATGGGTCTTGTGCTCAGCAAGAGGCATGCAATTAGCTACTGAGGTCCCAAAGCCACTGAGGGCTGTAAAGGGAAGTAAGAGCATCTTGATTTGAGCCCAGAAATGAACAGGTAACCCAGGATGGTTCTTGGTGAAATGGGGGTGGGGTGGGGGGAAACGGGTCTGGCTGTACCGTGGCTCTCCAAACATTTTTGTGGCTGACACACCCCAGCAGACACGACCAGCTAGTGAGGAGAGTTTACAAGAGCTGCAGTCCAGATGCATCGGCGGGCCTCAGGTGGCCACCCCGGTCGTGCCAGATGGGCCTCACATTGACAAAAGGAAGCTCTGCCAAAGTCTGCAAGAGGCACGATCCGGCTACGATCGGCCAGCCCTGATCTGTCTGCTTTTGCCTTTTACCTTAATCTTGTTCTCCTCCAGGAGGTACATCGCCATCGACTTCGCCAGGGCTTCGAAGAAAAACCAGGAATACTGAGGCAAAGCGAGAGAAAGGGAGTTACGCACGGCCACAAGAGGAAATGCCAGCCGTTCCCGTTCTGCGGGTGGAGAACGGAGCAGAGAGGGCGCGGTTGTGGCCATGGATGCAGAGTGGGTGCTGCGATGCAAGCCATACCCATCGCAAGTGGGTAGGGGCAGGGGGGGGATGGAGGCCCTTTTTGACCTTCCTCACCTTCAGCATCTTATTGATGGCCAAGAAATCCGCAGACTGCTTGAGAACGGTGGCCATCGCGACGGCCAAGATTTCGTGGGTCATCTTAGCCTGTGGCACAGCGGGCTTCTCAGGGCGAAAGCAATACTGGAACAGAGGCACAGACGCATTTCCCATCATCTTTCGGGTCTCCCCACTCATAGCATGCTGGGTTATTATGAAAGAGAACACTCTTAAGGTTTAGGGATTGTTATTATTATTATTTATTTTATTTGAATTTATGTCCTGTCTTCTCCCCCAGAACCTTTCCCATCATCTTTCGGGTCTCCCCACTCCCAGCATGCTGGGTTATTATGACAGAGAACACGCTTAGGGTTTAGGGATTGTTATTATTATTATTATTTTATTTATTTGAATTTATGTTCTGTCTTCTCCCCCAGAACTGGGCCTCTCACCTTTATGAAAGACCTTAGGTAGTGTTCGAGGCCTTCCTCGTGGCATCTGGATACGACATGGAGGAGAACCCTGCGGAACAAAAACCGGAGTGGTGACATTTCCCATCTTAGCTTCTGCTACTCCCCCAAATCAGGGCTGTCCTTGTGTTATGAGCCGTTAACACAATTGTTGAGCCCCAAAAGGAATCTTTGGGGAAACACAGGCTAGTCTGGAGAGGATTCTGGCTGGTTTAAGTCTCTGATTTCAGAGTCTCCTTCCCCACTGGTCCTTCCAGGGAGAAAAGCCAGCCTGGCTAGCCTTGGGCGAGCTGCACAGTCCCAAGGGCACCCACTAGTGGAAGGGAAGGGTAAAGCGCCTTGGGCAAGCTGCACAGTCCCAAGGGCGCCCACTAGTGGAAGGGGAAGGGTAAAGTGCTTCTCTCCCTGGAAAACCCTGGAAAGGGTCCCCATCCATCAGAATCGGCTCGAGAGCACACATTAAAAACAGCTTCATGAAGTGCAATGACTGGGATGTCTCTGATGGGTAGGCTGGCCCGGTCCAACACTTACATGGCACAGTTGACAGCCACCTCCTCTTCTTGTGTCCGGTGGGTGAGGACCCGGAAGAGTTGTGTCAGAATCACAGGCAGAAACTGAATCATCACCTGGATCTCCATGGCGTGCAAACACTGAGGGGGAAAAAAAAAACAGCACACACAGAAGGCACACGTAGGATAAGCTGGAGTTCCTGAGATGAAGCCACTGTGATCATAAAAGTCAATGGTTTCTTCCTGACTAGAGTAGACCCACTGAAGGACTGAGTCTTGCACTTGTGCATGTTCCCAGTTAGTCCAATTTCTTTCAGGGATGTTGACAAGCTATTGGCTCCAAGTCCTGAGTCCTTATTTTAAAAAAAGCTTCCCCCCCCCCAGAAAAAAGGCAGGAGGTGGGCGAGTCCCGAGTCGCGGGTTTGAGGCACTGAAAGAAAACAATTCAAGTTGAGTCACTGGAGTGACTTCAGTCCGACTTCGTAGTGAGTCCCGCTTTCTCTGGGACTGACCGACAGCTTTATAGCCCACTTTTGCTTTAAGGAAGTAAAATAATGTGGTTTGCCAAAAGATCAGTACAATTAAACAAACACACAAGGCAAGACAAAACTCAGTATTTAAAAAAAAAAAAAGCCCAATTCATGGAGCAATTCATGGAACACACCCGGCCCTATCAAGGAGCGAGAGAAAAGTCAAGGCACCCCATGGTTTAAGTCTCAAGTTGCCGAGTCTGATTCCCGGCTGGTCCTCCAGGGAGAAGAGCCAGTCTTCCCACACATAAAACATTTTTCTGGAGAAGGCCAAGACCTCTGCGCATGCGTGCGTGCATGTGCGCACACACGATTCCTGCAGTTAAAGCTTACCTTCAAATATTTAACAAGCTCTCCTGGGATTTCTTTGGCCCCTGTCTGGATCGTCTGGTAATACTGGAAGAATTTATGGAGGTGGAGGTCCTGAAAGGCAAGAGAAAGCAACTCAGCCTATTTCCCTTTCTCTCCCCTCTCCCTGCACATCAGTTTGAAAAGTTACTTTTTTTGGTCCGTGCTTGCATTAGACAGCATGGCCTGTGGCTATGGTAGCCCGGAGGATTCTGGGAATGATCCTCTTTAAAAGGAACTTCTCCAAGCACCGCCTTTTCCCAGCAAGATTTCCTCTCAAGAGTTGCACTCTCTGTTCATGGAGAATGGTTTCCTCCATCACTTGATCTAAATGTAACCACGTCCTCTTCTGGCACTCTGTTCCGTCACACACTTAGGTGTTGTACTAATTCTTCCACTTCACCCCCAGAATCTGTGACCCTTGGCCACGCTCTCTGAGTCATCTGAGAGCTGAGGTCCCAGACATCTGGGAGACCAAAGGGCAAGACCTCCAGGGGCCTACAGGAGAGCAAAAACGTTCACATGCAGCTTCTTCCATTTTAAAGATGCCTCCTGAAGTTGAAACATCTAACAGCCCTTTAGAAACCTTCCTTTGGCATAAAATGCCTCTTTTGAGTTGCACAAAGGCTTTGCACGCTTGTACATGGGGGGGGGGGACACCTGCCTCTCATTCTTATCTTTTTCATCGCCTCCTGACAAGAGTTGGATAACCATCATCAACGTTTACACCTTCTTCAAGGCAAGGTTAAGTCCTACTGAATCCCAGCCATGAGTTATGAAGTCAGGTTCAACCTCTGGCTTACCCTCCTGGGATTTTCCAGATGTCAAATAGTCTGAAGTGTTTTTTCCAGCCTGTCCTTCTGGTGAAACCCAGGGACTACCAGCTGGCAGGGACAGCAAACCCATCATCCACAACATGCTGTGGATGATCCTGACTGGCCCCTCTCCCAGGAGGGGGTGGGAAGGCACAGGGAGGATTCAAACTCCCGGCTCTGGAGGAGTCAAGCTCCTGGCGTCACCACCCAGCACTCCAACCCACCGAGCTCCACCTGTTCCACCAGAGCCGGACTTACTTGGGTGTAAATGGTCGATTCCAGATGGAGCTTGATCTTGAAGAGGGGTTTCCCCCCATCGACCCACTTAATGTCCACACTTGGTTGCTGCAAAAATGAGAAAAACAAGGAGGGATTCTGAAATGTGTTCCCTGGCTTTGCAGGGCAAGCTTTGCCCAGCTGGGGGTTTAGGGCAGCCTTTTTTCAGAGCAGTTGAACCCGGGCATCTGCCAGTACGGGCGGCAGACAGACCACAGACCAAAAGGGACCTACGGGGAAGAAAGCTGACCCCAAACCCAGCTTCTGTTTTAGAAACGACGGTGCTCTACTTCCCTCTTTCATGATGGATTTCAGCCCTGAAAAATCTGTGCATGTGTACAAGAGAGCAACACCATGAGGACTAGAACCCCTCCTTGAAAGGAAAGGATGATGTTTATAAGCTGACATGTTGAACACGGATGTAGTTGCTCAAGCTGTCTGGAATTCCAGCTGGAGGCATGAGAAATACACAGCTATTAACACAAGTCACGCGCCGTCTACACCCCTGACATCTCTGTGTTTGTCTTCCTTACTTTTCGTGCCTCAGTGTCCCCGGCGTTCAGGTAGCCAGCCGGCAGATTGGCCGAAACAGGCAAGTGCTGCTCCGCGGTGATGATCCGACCGTCCTTCAGTAATGGAAGCCAGGTAAAACCCACTGAGGAGACAGCAACGACACAGGTGGGAGAGCAGGCAAGATTGCTGGGTTGCTGGTAGATCACACAGGATCGTTGCCATGGGGCTGTTTGTTATTTGCATCAATGTTCTGCCTTCCCTCCAATCCGCTCAAAGCAGCAGACACAGGTCTCTTCCTCTGCCTCACCACAACCCTGCGAGGTAGGTCAGATTAAGTGAGAGAGTGTACCTGTCGTCTCGACCGCGTCCTGCTTTTTCGCCGTCCCCTTTGCGTTAATTTCGCAGCTGACGTGATAGAAGGTGAAGAGCAAATGATGCTTTGGATGGAGGTGGATGGGAAGTTCGGTTTTGATCTACAAAGGACGTCACGAGACAGAAACGAGGCTGAATCTGAGTTCCCCAAAATGCATTTTAAGCTGCTCTTAAAACATACACACAGAAGACTCACAGCTCCCTGTTTCTCCCTGCCTCTGTTTCCCTTCCGTTCCTCGGTCATCTTCCTTTTGTTTAATTTTACAGTCGTTCCGCGTAAAGAGCTGCCCTGTTTAGCGCTGTTTCGCTATAGCGCACGGCTCAGGTGGCTATTTTTAAGCCAGTTCTGCTGCTTTTTCTGTACTTCCACAGAATGACAGCCCACAGTAATGCCTGCTAGGGTATGTTTTAGCTGGAAGGCAGCAGAGGGGAAGTGTCCAAATGTTCTCACCTCATCATAAAATTCGGGGCTCTGATTATGATGCAGCACAGAAGCATAGGCACTTGACGTCAAGAGAGGGCCCCCAGGTTTGCCATATAAACACTGCAAGAGACAATGGGAATGGGTGAGGAGAGAGCCCCTAAAAACAGTGGGGTACAGTGGTTATAGCAGTGTGCATTCTCTCCAGCTTCAAAGCATGGGGAAATTGTCAGATCCATTATGAAATAACCATGTGATTATTTCTCACAGGGACCCCAACAAGTCCGAAGCGTTGCGGGAGATACCCGGACACTTTATTTCAGATCAGTCTCAATCCCTTGCACATGGTCCTGGTGTGAGGCCACCCCACATGGGCCCTGGTTGGGCATTTACCTTTAAAGCTTTGGCCTCGCCTTCATCCGAGTCTTTGAATTCCACACGGACAGCAATGTTCCTTGCCTGGAACAGCAACAGGCCGTGAGGAGAATATTTGGGTCCAGAAACATGATTTATTTGTTCATTTATGTCTGTTTCTATCCTGCCTTTCCCCCTAACTGGGACTCCAGACAGCACACAACCAGCTTAATGTAACAATGATAAAAGAAATAATAATGCAAAAGTATATTGGCATGCAATCAGTTTGCAATATTAAAGCACAACTGAACCAAAAACAATTTGATTCAGTTGTGCTTTAATATGGCAAACTGATATGGATGCTGAAAACTGCAGATAATAGCAAACACCATCCAGAGTAGAGTAAAATAAAAATTTAAAAATCAGAAAACTATTTTCATCATGTATTACCAGAACTGGCTCCCTCTAGTGGTAAATACATTTTCCCCCTGTTAATAATTTAGATGTAGTTTCAGACTGCAGATATGTATTTTTCCATGTATAAGACACCCCCATGTATAAGATGCCCCCCCACTTTTCTAATCCAAAATTAAAAAATCTAAGTGGGGCTTAGCAAGGGTGGGGGGGAAAGGGATCAAAACGCTGCAGGATAGATTTGATCCCTGCTTTCCCCTCCACTTGTTTTTGTTCTCTCCTCAGCTTACTTCCGTGTATAAGACAACCCTCAATTTTTAGTCTAAAGATTTTTGACGAAAGTATAGTCTTATACATGGAAAAATACAGTAAGTGAAGTCACACACATATATACACATCCTTGAACTCAGACCAACCAAGCGGTGGTCCACCATTCTAACCATGTGACTACACCATACTTCCCTTCCACCTGCTTAGAAGAGGAGAAGGCACGTCCCTCCCTTCCTAATAAACGAGTTTCCTGTGAGGCTGCCTCCGGATTCCATGTCCCGACTCAGTCAGCAGAAGAACTTCACGCGCACTGAAAAGCAAGCCCCAACTCCACCCCTACCCGTCCGTTCCGAGCTCACCTTGGCAAATGTCTTCTGGCTGTCATACTTTAAGTGCAAAGGGTAGACATAGAGTTGGTTTTTGTAGATGGTGAAGGGGTGGCAGTACTTGGCAACGTCCGGGACAAACTCCTCCACCTCCATCGCAATGCTGCGGCCCGGGTCATCTTTCTCAAAGGGCTTGATGGGGACGTAAGAGGCAGTGATGCAGTCTGGGGGCAAGCAAAGGCCAAGGGTGGTATCCAAGCACCATTCAGTTTCACCCCCAAAATAGATCTTTAGCTCATAACGGCCTTGGACGGACCTAAAACCCAGACACAGTTGGCAGAAACCAAGCTCTATCCTCTTAACACTGGCTGGGATCACAAATGTACAGGCAAACCATAGTTTAACATGTTGGTTCCCCCCAACCATGATTTGCTGCTACAAATAACCATGCTTAGCAGTAAGCAAGGATGTCAACTTCACAGTGATTAAGACCATAAGCTCACATGTTTAAGCTTTGAAAGGCAAGTATAGAGAGAAGCCAGCAAGACTGTATTTCTTTAGCAAGTTTTTCTAACTAGGTCTGAGACTCTCGTCACACTAATTAATGCAGCTACAAATGATCCGCTGAATCAATTAAACTATGGCTGAGATGTGTGATATCCACACATAATTCTGTTAAAAAGTGGGGTGGGCGGTGGATACCAAGCACAACTCACACGGCTAAAAGCTTATGTAAAAAGGAGTTCCTTACTTGAGAAGTCTGGGGGAACACACTCTAAGGTAATATTTAACTGGCCAGGTATTACTTGCAGTTTGGTTTTTTCTGGTCTGTATAGAAAGGAAACAAACCAACAAAGAAAATGCCATCAACAACAAGGGAAAAAAATCAGAATATTGTTTAGCTAGAAAGCCATGAAAATAGTGCCCAAAATGAGAACAACAGAAAATGACAATTGACGAATTCGGAAACATTAAGTCACACTCAGAAGCCCAGTATGTAACCAGCACAACCACACTGTAAATGGAATGGATTTCTACAGAACTTAAGCCAGTTGCTACAGACGTAACATTCCCAATCCTGCAAACTCTGGTTTAGCATCACACGGCTGAATCTTTGGCAGAAGGCCTCTCTCCCTCAGCTCCTCCTCTGTGCTGGGATTGGAGTAGCACACTCCTCTTCCGCAGCCCTAAAGGCACACGGGGGTTTGCAACAAACATGAAATACCGGATTCAACTTCAGCACAGCAGGAGACAAGGGAGGGAGGGAGAGATGTTTGTGATTGTGTGTGTATATGTGCATATACATGGCTGGGACTCATTGATGTAGCACCAAAGCTGGTTAACGGTTATTCATACCAAGAGTGGAGAAACACGGGCTCATGGGAACCTTTCGTTTACACTGTTACACGTGAATCAAGTCAAGGACTGTTATGTATTATATATGGTCAAGGTGGAACCAATTTATAGTAAACCTAATGAGGTTTTCAAGGTAAGTGAGATGTTCAAGGATTGGTTTTACCAGTTCCACCCACCAGTGAGTTTCCATGATGGAGCAGGAATTTGAACCCAGGTCTCCTGGGTTCTAGTCCATCACTCTATCCATTGCTCCACAATGGGTATTAAAAGCTAGGTTTTGCCTTATTTTCTATTGACTAAAGCTGAAGTCAAGTCTATTTCAGCCTGCTGAATCAATAGCACTTACTGATCTGTTGACTAAACATGTCCTATTTATTCAGTGGGTCTACTCACGTTGAGAACTGGAACTTACAACTGGATCTAGTCCTCTGTTACTTTATTTACTGGCCAGAATCCTATTGCTGACTTATGTCTGCATAAGCAAAATCACTCAAGTCAAGGCAGCACATTGCTACTTAATAAGGAGACGTTGGTTGCATTCCTGGGCAGGTGGCCTGGATAATTCTGGGAGCTATTGTCCAAAAATATCAATCTGCACTCTTCTAGAGGAAATCCACAGCTGTACGCAGGAAACCCACCATCTCCAGCATCCCCGAGAGGTGGTCAACCAACAGAACCTCTTTTCTTGTGGTCTGGTTTACGTCCCATCCTCTGGAGTACCAGAAAACCAGTCTGCTCCAGTTTCCCCCAAAATAGTTCAGATATTGGAAATAGCTATCCTACACCTCTCATTCTCCTCTTTTCAAGTTTAAACATTTACACCTCACTCAATGGTTCCTCCTATTTCTTGGTTTCCAGACGCTTCAGCGTCCTGGATGCCCACCTCTGCCTTGCTTCTAGCTTATCAACAGCCTTCTTCGGCAGGGATGACGTCCAGAACCGGACACAGTCCAGAACCATCGGTGAAGGCAACTAACTAGGTTGGAAGACCCTTGGATGAAAATTCTGGGACAAGCTTTCCACAGCCTGAGTGCTGTTGCGTCTTGGCAGGCTTACGCCGGCCATTTCCAGAGCACTTACTTCTTATACTCCGCCAAGAGTTTCAGCAGGTCGTCCGTTGAGAGCTTGCCACTGTCCTGTTTGTAGAGAGGGGAGAATTTGCTTTCAAGGTCCAAAGTGCCTTGGGAATCTTTGAAGACAGGTCTGGAGAGAGAGAAGGGGGGGGTTACCAGGTGAAGAAACACCTCCGAGTCACTGAGCTGGTCTCCCTGAAACTTCTCTGTGCTCCCTTCACTTTGCCTTAGGGCCACCTGCTTTACGAGCAAAAGCAGACGCGCTTGGGGCATTGTACTTTACAAACAAAGATGACCAACGAAGGGTTCCAGGAGACCACCCTTCTTCAGCCTACTTTACAAACAAAGATGACCAACGAAGGGATCCAGGAGACCACCCTGTGCTCTCCAGATGTGTTGGGACTGCCATGTCCTCAGTGCAGCAGCCAACACGGCCAAGGAAATGAGATGGGGGGTGGGTGAGGGTGGCCTTTGAGGCAAAGGACAATTTAATGGGGTTGCCAGAGGGTGCCTTTTGCCTGAGGATCTTCTGGCATTCGTTTGGAAGCAATGAAGAAAGAGATTGACCTTCTCCTAGATCTGAAGCTGGTCCAACCCAACAGAGTGCAGCAATTTTTTGCTGAGGTGAGCAAACTCTCTCTCTCTCTCGCTCTGTGTGTGTGTGTGTGTAGGACCTATCAGGAACATGTTTTGGGGGAGACCAGTACCCAAGCAAAGAACTTTTCTGTTCAGGTTATTGAGCAACTGATTGTATGTTAAGAGCAGGACTTTTAATGGATGTAGGGACACAGCACTAGATTACTACTGCAACTACTGTTTCACTGGATATTATTTCAAAATTATTTTTAGTATTTGTATTTAATTTTAATATTAAATACAAGGTGGCTCACAACAGATAAAGTAAGAAATATTGTGTTCTAATGCTGCAATTATTGGAGGAAAGGAGAGAGAGAGAGAGAGAGAGAGAGAGAGAAAGAAAGAAAGAAAGAGAGAAAGAAAGAAAGAAAGAAAGAAAGAAAGAAAGAAAGAAAGAAAGAAAGAAAGAAAGAAAGAAAGAAAGAAAGAAAGAAAGAAAGAAAGCAGACCAAGTCCTGGAAATTCAATCCTTAATAGCAACATGGTCTGAAGTTTATGGGCTAAAAGTGTACCCGACTTTTCCCTCTGCTGAGCCCCCTACTCCCCGGACCGGTTCAACCTGCCCGGCGCCACTCCCAGGCTCCCGGCTCCCCTTTGCCCCACTAAGACATCCTGGCAGCCGAGACAGGAAAGTGAGGCCAAGAGCATCCGATACACACTCACCGGGCAGCCCAGGCAAAGGGCATCCTGTACTGTCCAAGCCGGCTGCACACCACTTTGGCCAGCTTGTGGACCTTCTGTGCCGTCTGGAAGGCAGGAAAGAAGGAAGAACAGTGGGTCGAGCCCATCTAGCTCGTCTGAGGAAGAGGGAAGGGTCTAAAGGGCCTGGCTGGCAAAAACTAGCACAGCTCTCCACGAAGTGGCAAGATCTCCAACAGGCTGGCAAGGTCTAGAGGCTGGGCTTGCCCTCAAACTGGACTGACCTCTGACACCCCAAACCGAATGAACAACACAACACCATTTTCACCTCTTGCATCCCCTGAGGGTAAAAGAGGAACCTCCACCGTGCTGTTGGCCGAGGAGAGCATTGTCAAAAATGCAAGGAGAGATTTAAAAAAGGCACTTTGCCTGGGTGGGAGCCCTACAAATCATTGACCTCCAAAATCTCCTGTCCTCCACCGCCTTGCTCAGGTCTTGGAACCTCAAGCCTGTGGCTTCCAGAATCAAACCCTTCCATCTTGTCTTTGGTCTTCCTCTTTTCCTGCTGCCTTCTAATTTTCCCAGCCTTATTGTCTTGTCTTCGATCACATGCCCAGAGCAGGGTGGCTTCAGTTTAGGGTGCCTATGATTGAACTTGGCTTTTCTCCTCCCCTCCTACCCTGGTAAACAGGTGCAATCCAGCCGTACAGTGTTACAGATCCATCCCTCGTCTGGCGTACCTTTATGGGGTCAGAGTTCTTGATATAGGGCTCCACGCAATGCGTGATGCTTCCTTGAAGAACTTTCTCCACCCGGATGACCAGGAAGATTTCTGGGTGTGGGTTTGTGACAGAGAAGACCCCCTTCAAGGAAAAGAGGAGCAGAGCAACAGAAGCTATATAACAGAATGAAGGGGACACAGGTGTGAAGCAATCTTCTGGGGGAGACCTGTTTTATTTGCCCCCTCCGATGGGCCCTGGCACCTCATCGGTTAGCCCAGCAAGTTCAGCAGAACCTGGAACAAGTCTAAGAGGATTCTGGTCCTCAAGAAAAGTAGGGTATAAATCTAACCGGCACCACCATCACCAATACTAAATAGTCTCAGTAGGTTGAGTATCTTAACCTGTAGTGCCAAGAGGAACCCAAGTTGCTAGAAAATGTCAGTAGACCTTAGAAAATCTAGACTAGATACCCCTGCAGTGTATCATCCTGCTTCTGGTTCTTATGATGCACCGTTGACACCGGCTTTTGGCTGGGATTCCTTACATTCACTCTTATCCTTCCTTACCTGCTTTACGTAGCACAAGCGTGATTCAGGAATTCCATGGAAGAAGCGGCCGTGAGCAGGGTGGCTTCCAGCATCTTGGGTGGGAAGGTCGGGCAGCATTTCTCGTACAGGCTGGGAATTCAAGTCCACGTGGAAATCTGCCGAAATCTTGCAGCAGCTTTTCAAATCGAACAGCGCGAGGCTGAGGAAGAACGGCTCCACCTGGCAAGTTTGAAAGGACAGATTTCTCGTTATCTCAGGGAAACAGATCGTAATTTGGACCGCTGGTGGAGACTTCCGATGTGACCTGTTTCCAAGTGATCCCATGACGTATGGGGAGATGCGCTCCAACCCAACCCTAATCCGTGCCCAAGCTGTATCGTTTTGGTCCAGCTGTAGGGCTTCTCCACTGGAGCAATTCCCCAGCCGACAAAAGGACAATCAGATTGCAGGAAAGGCAATAGTTATAAATATACTTAATATCTGCTTCCTCCCATGTCACTCTACAACCTGGGGTCTTCTAATTATGTTGGTCTACAATGCCCAGAAACCTTTAGCTGGTTATGGAACACCCTCTGGAAAAATCTGGGTGTTGTAACCCAACATAATTAGGAGACCCCAGGTTGGAACGCCTTGTCCTCCATCAACCTGGCCAAATCTGTTGCAGAAGATATACATGATCCTTCTAAAAAAACAACAACCTAGATGTGCTTCCAAAACAGGGGGAGCCCTTCGGAGTGCTTTGCCAAAATGGTGGCCTGAAACCTACATTTGTGGGCGGGTCTTTTGCGTGGTCGTTCAAGTGGGCGACGAGGTTGAAAGTCAAGGAGTGACAGTTCACCAGAAAGCGCTGGCTGCATTTTTCCTCAAAAGGCTTCACGTCCGGCTCTATGCCAGAGAAATCGAGCCTCTAAGAAAAAAAGAAAGAAATAGTAGGTAGGTAGGTAGGTAGGTAGGTAGGTAGGTAGGTAGGTAGGTAGGTAGGTAGGTAGGTAGGTAGGTAGGTAGGTAGGTAGGTAGGTAGGTAGGTAGGTAGGTATCCATCCTATCTGTCCTTAGAATACAATTTGATTCTTTCTACTCGAGTAAAATTGAAGGTTTTCAAAGGAAAAATAAGTAAATGAAATGGTACAGAAGTCAAGGGTAAATGTTTTCAAAGGAAAAATAAGTAAATGAAATCGTACAGAAGTCAGGGGTGAGTTATCTCTCTCTCTCTTACTCACTCACTCACTCTGGTCTCCACCCTCCGACCCCAACATCACTCACTCACTCACTCACTCACTCTGGTCTTTACCCTCCGACCCCAAAGTTTGTCGAATGGCTTTCAGAGCCAAGGCCCGACCCCTGCAAGCGGCTCTTAGCAGAGTTTTTGGCTGAGGAGGCATGCAAGAAAACGGGGCCCTGTCTATCAACCGCCATGCAAAGGCTACTCCTCAGGGCAAAGGCGAGCCGGGATGTTCCGGCTGCAGAAGGCAAATGACCTGGACTTCGGGATCGAAGGAGAAGAGGTTCTGCCTCCCATCGTTTCTGCTAAGCTTGTTCAGCTGCTCCGTCTCTCTTCCGTACTGAAATGGAAAAAAAAAAAGATGTGCCTCAGCGTGAGGTCGAAGGAAGGACAAGCCCTGGCCAATGCATCACTCCCAGGGGACATTTTTCCCCGTGATAGCAAGGGAACACACAGAAGATTTTTCTAAAAGCACGAGGCCTCTTCAGACCCCCCCCCTCTACGGGAAACAGAGCCGTCCCGAGGCGCCTGGTTTTGAAAAATCCAGAGTGGTTTCACCCGGCCGTGTTGGGCTGGGTGAGCCCCTTTCCTACCCCAGCCCTCTTTAGCAGGAGGCTTCAAGGCCATGTTTTTTGAAAGGGGCACTAAAGAAAATTAGCCGCATCATTTTAGAAGGGAAGAGCCAGAAGGGCCTCGACAGATCCTCCGGTTCAGCCTCTGTCCGGGAGGGCCCAGCGGGGAATCAAACTCCCAGCCTCCGGGCCGTGTTGGGCTGGGTGAGCCCCTTTCCTACCCCAGCCCTCTTTAGCAGGAGGCTTCAAGGCCATGTTTTTTGAAAGGGGCACTAAAGAAAATTAGCCGCATCATTTTAGAAGGGAAGAGCCAGAAGGGCCTCGACAGATCCTCCGGTTCAGCCTCTGTCCGGGAGGGCCCAGCGGGGAATCGAACTCCCAACCTCCGGGCTCTGCAGGCAGAGACCTCTACCCCTGAGCTATCCAACAGTTCCAGCCAGTCCCTCACCCTTGTCTCACTCCAACTCTTCCCACAAATGTTGCCTTCCTGTTTGGCAAAAGTGACTCTGTTGATCTGGTGCTCCTTCTCCACAGATGCCATCCTGGCTCTCAGGACTTGGAGAAGTTCCTTTTTTGGATTACAACTCCCAGAAACTTCCCCCCCCCAGCTAATAGGGCTGGCTCTGGGGGTTGCAATCTGAAAGCTCACTTCCTCAAGTTCTCTCTTCCTATGGCCAAGATCTCCAGATACGTAACTCCCTCTCCCCCCCCCAAAGAACCCTCCCCCCCAGCATCACAACTTGAGCTGCTCTCGCAAGCCATTCCCTATTCCTTCCCCCGCCCCTTTCCAACTGGACCGGATTTCTGTCCGAACTCCTGACGTTTCCAATTCCCAGAATCTCCCAGCATGCCACGCTACGGCCATCTCCTTCCCCCCAGGGCCTTGCAGACGCCACCGAGGCCGCCCCTACCTTCATCAGCTCCGGGTGCATGCTCCTCTCTAAGCTCTCCAGGATGTTCTCCGACTTTCCCAGGCCGACCGACTCGTCATCTGCAAAATCACAGAAAAGCAGATGTCCCCAATGACTGCCGAGGCGCCTGGCCAGCCTGTTCGGGAGCAGCTGTGTGGGAAAAACTCAGCAGGGAGGCCTGGAGAGGGGCCGGGAGCTTCCCACTGGGCACGCAGAGATATTTTCCAGTAAACCTCATGCACGCGCATCAACAGACATGCGTGTGCACACAAAAGTTGGCTGCAGAGAGGCAAACACAGCTCTTCCTTCCTACGTAGGCTTTGCTCTGTCAGTTGTTTGGGATGCAGAGAGAATGGAAACGCAGCACGCAAGTAGAATGCAGGAGCTTTATGGTCGTAAGACATCCTGAATCAGAGCAGCCGGGGGGGGGTGCACAGTGGGGCTTTCTTTCCAAGGCTCTGGAATGCACCCCTTCTTCCCTGGCTTTGATGGACTTCCAGAGCTTTGGATTCACACCTGTTCTGCCTCTGTTTGCTTTTACGGGCTGGTTTTAGAACCACCTAAAACTCATCTCTAGTATCGAAGAACTCTTTAAGAAACTGCCCTAAAGCTCTCTGCTGTCTTTCTCTAAAAGGGGACTTTTGAGCTTCAAAGAGATCATTTGCATTTTCAGAATGAACACTAACCAAGCAGATTGCTTTTTATGGTTTTTCTTGTGGCACCCTTGGGCCCGTTCGGGGTGGAATCGAATGCCCAATGAGCCATTTTTTTTGAGGTCTGCAAATCACCACCATTAGATCTGAAGATCTCATGAAGTCTTCATGACTTTAACCTCCTGCCTCTCCACCCACCAGGCCTGGATCTGAGTTCCGTTATCCAGAAATAATGCACCAAGAATCACACGCCGGTTGCAACTGGCCTAAGACACGTTTTCCCCAGAATGCGGATTTGGGCGTACCTGTTGGGGAAGGCAGCTCCCTTCATCCCCCAGCCAGCTTGGGCCCACCCCAGACTTACCTGGCATGGACTCCACCACCTCTTTCTTCTCTTGCACCAAGCTCTCTGCATTGATCTGGATGATCTTCCGCAAGGTCACCAGCCACTCCTCCATCTCTGGCTCACTTTCGGCGGCCAGGTAGTGGCTGTACTTCTCCAGCATCTTGAGCTCAAAGGCGTAGCGCCGCATCTTAGGGCACTAACAACGGAAATGGAAGAGCAGGGAGAAGAAGGTGATGACATCCGTCAAAACAAAGAGGAGGCTCAGGACTCTCCTTGCTCTCTTCTTGTCAATTTTGTGGCTTATGAATCCAGTGTTTTTTTAAAAAACGGAACCAAAACAGCGGCCAAATCTGGGCCAAACCCTTTGCAAGGTTCCTACCTGGACGACGTCAACGCACGAATCCAGGAAGATGCAGCCTTTCGATTCTTTGGAAGTCTTTTCATCTTTGTAGGAGTTGAGGATGTAGGGGAAATGGAAGAGGAGGGAGAAGAAGGTGATGACATCCGTCAAAACAAAGAGGAGGCTCAGGACTCTCCTTGCTCTCTTCTTGTCAATTTTGTGGCTTATGAATCCGGTGTTTTTTTTTAAAAAAAACGGAACCAAAACAGCGACCGAATCTGGGCCGAACCCTTTGCAAGGTTCCTACCTGGACAACGTCAACGCACGAATCCAGGAAGATGCAGCCTTTCGATTCTTTGGAAGTCTTTTCATCTTTGTAAGAATTGAGGATATAGGAGCCATCCGGAAGCTGTGTTAGGTCGAAGTATCTTCTTTTGAACACCTGCCAAGAAAAAAAGAGAGAGGAATTCATTTTGGGGAAGCCCGAGATGGCACATGGAGGCTCTTCCTGGCCACCGTGGTTGGGAATCACTCTCCCCGTCTGGACGGTCTACATTCAAAACTGGTGGGCAGCACCACTGATTGTGGAAGATCCCAGACATTAACTCTGTGCCAGGTGTTTACTCCTTTTTTTTTCCTGCTTTAGATCTGTTGGTGTGCATTTCCCCACAAATTCTACCCTGAGAAAAGGGGAGGATGATTTCTTCCTGCACTTTTTCTCCATTCCATGACCAAAAAGTCCTTTGTCGCCTTCAGCGCCGCCGCTGTCCTGCTTCAAAACACCAGACAACCACAGAATCATGGCATTGGAAGGGGCCTTGAAGGCCATCGAGTCCAACCCTTTGCTCAAGGCAGGGGTCCCAATCCAAGCAGATCTGACAGAGGGTGGTCCAGTTTTCTCTTGAAGGCCTCCATAAATCCTGTAACGTTTCCATATTGGTGCTCCTGTCCTGCAATCATTTTGGCTGCCCTTTTCTGCACCCAACTTTTCCCTGAAGAGTAGCGCCGCCTTTCTGTCGGAGCAAAAACCATCCCAAGATTCCTGTGATGTCTTAAGGGCTAACCAACTTGACTGGGCGTAAGTGTTGGTGGTGCACGGCCCGCCTCTCCCTCTGAGGAGCTGGGGGTATGGTTTAGGAAGGCCCGTGCCACAACCAAACCTCTTAGCCTCTAACGGGCCACCGTTGTTTTTCCGCCTCCACAATAGAATTCAGTCAGCAAATGCTCCTGGGCACAGGGTTCACACAGGATAGCAAGGATGCTACAATCGCTAGGCGACACACGTCCCAGATAGACCAGGAACGGGACCTTTCACGACCAAGGAACTGGACTCCATCCATGTCCAAAATGGGGAAAATTGGATGGGAAAAAAACATAGAATCAAAAAGGAGGGAAAGAATGAGTAAAAGTGGAATAATAAATGGCGTGAAGCTCTGGAGTTCCTACAACCCACAATTATGTTGGTTTTTCTGCTGACAAGCGCAAAGGACCCCATTGATTTATAACCAAGGAGCAACCTCAGCAGCACCGGCAGCAAGACGACCCACAATGAACGACAGAGGTCGATCGAGACAACCGCTATCGGAGAAAGCTTGGACAACGTCCTGTTTTGGACTAAAGCCACCAGAATCCCCCAGCGTCCTTGAAGGATGCGGCTTTTGCTTCTCTGACTGCAATTTGATATTGTAACTATTACCTTTCTATCCCTGTGCCCAGCACCGGAGAAGTTACTTCTAGACTGTTTTGAATACCCGCAGTTGCCATGTTGGCCAGGGGTGTATGTGTGTGTGTGTTTCATTCGTTCGTTCGTTCGTTCGTTCGTTCGTTCATTCATTCATTCATTCATTCATTCATTCATTCGTTCATTCATTTGTTCGTTTGTTCATTCATATACTGCCCCATTAGCGAAATGCTCTATTCTGGGCAGTTCACAACATAATAAAATTAGAACAAGCGATGACACAAGGAGCCATGGCTCTAGTTTTGGAATATGGTTCTAGGAGTTCAGCCTCACAAAATGCCCTCGGAGCGGTTCCAGCGCATCCAGATTCAAGACTACCTGGACACCTAACAAAAGCCTTTTCTACCCCCTACCCCCGACCCACAAAAGCAAGTTGTCCTGAGTCGTCACCCAGAGCTCTTACCTTCATGGTCACCGTGATGGTGCTGTTGAAGTTGGCCTTGTAGAGCCAGCCCTGCTTTATCACGCCACCCTTCTGGGAACACAGTGATGAGGAGTCCTGGGAAAGTGAGCAAGAGGCATTTTAGATTAGGCCTCCTTCAGTCTCGAGAGACGATGGTCACGTGCTCTGTATGGAGGACTTGGAACAGCATCTAGTGTGGCTGAGGAGGCCAATTCAAGAGTGACCATCCCTTCCACCCTGGAGACAAATACAATCCGTCCCCTGTCCAGCTCCCTGATTTTGCTGCTTTTGTGACTTCCTCTTGGCCTCGGCCTGCTGGACAAGGGTCTCTTCAAATTGGGAGAGGCTGTGATGCAACGCCTGCCTCCAGGCTGAACGCTCAGAGGTCAAGGTTTCCCATCTGTTGAGGTCCATTCCTAAGGCCTTCAGATCCCGCTTGCTGATCTCCTTGTATGATATCTGCAAGCGGGATAATATGATGGTAGAGCAGAGGAATCCAGAGACATTATTGCGACGAAAACTCAGGAGAGAGAAAGAGACAGAGGTTGAAATCCTGTCTCTTGGGGTACTAAATTCACAACGAGAGTCAGCCCATTGAATCAATGGGGATTTGATGCGTCAACTTCTCTGTAATTTCCATGGATTCAATGGGACTGCCCTAATCGCCATTTATTAGATTAAGCAACAGGATTTCAGCCAGATGCCGACAGCCAAATCTCAGCATGCGGAATGTTCAGGACCAGACAGTTTTATTTAGTTAGATAATTAGTTGTAGAATAGACCTGTCCTAGATGGGCGGTATATAAATCCAATAAATAAATAAATAGTTTGCAGAAGGGCACAGAATCCAGGAGCTGATTTTTTGGAAAAGTTAATTTTCTAGAAGACCGGTCCGTGGGCAGCATGAAACGTAGTTTTGTGGCGCGGTTACTAGTGGAGAGAGGAAATTAATCCCAGAGGGCTCCAGGAATGGGCATTTAAAATTTGGCAAAACTGAGCAAATACACTTAAGCGATGTGTTGCCTTCACAACACCCCCCTCCCTCATCGTTTTCTATTTTTGCTGTCCCACACATGGCGGCGCTGCTGTTGAGGGAGTCATGAAGAAAACTAGAGATGGGCACAAACTCCCTCGGTTCGGCAGTTTGTGCCGGTTCGTTTCTTGGCCGAACGGGTGTTTGGTGCTTCCCCAGCCCCGCCTCCTTCGGTGGGCAGCCAATCAGAGGCAGCGCCTGAAGGAGGCGGGGCAGGGATGCCAGGGAGCTGCCTCTGAGTGGGTGACTGATGGAGGAGGCGGGGTTGAGAAGCACCGAACCTCAGTTCGACCAAAAATACAAACTGGCACGAATCGCCGAACTGGCAGCCGGTGCCCATCTGTCATGAAACCAAATACAAATCACTGTTTGGCCCACAGAAAAATCAGGGTTTGTGCTTTCAAAAGCTATTACGGCCAAGAATCTCCAGGTGCCTTCTTACTCCCAGTAATATGTGAAGATTTTCAAAATGAAAAACAGCCTGGCTTTATACAACCTCAGGGGAAGATAGGTGGAAGCCCATGTGCCCCAGAACACACACACACACACACACTGTGTTTTTTCCTCCTGAATCAACATCCCTTGCCAGGCGCTCCGGAAGCCCTGAGAATGCCATCTATTATTACTGCTAAAAATTAGATTTAAATTAAATTTGCGGTGGCACCAGCTGGCAGAGCATCCCGGAGCGCTTGTGTTTCAAATATGAAAGAGGAAGTCCAGATTAACTTCCGGTCAGCTTGTCCAAGATAGCTTTTGAGGGTTGTTTTTAAAAAGGAGAAGAAATTAGGAACGCTATTTTCAGACAGACCAGCTGCTTCTCCCCACTTCTACTGGGGATACCCAGTGTGGTGTCGTGGGCAGAGCGATGGACTTAGGACGCCTGGGTTCAAATCCCGACACAGCCATGGAAAATTGGGGGGGGCAAAAACCACTCCTTAAAATATTTCACTTCTCTTGACAGCTGTCAGTCGGTTCTGACTTGGAGGCACAAAGCATAACAGCTCTGCATCTCTGCAAGCTGTTCAGTTGACGGGGATCTAGATTTAATTTGGGGAAACATCTGTTCTCCAAACTGTGTTTGCTTAGATAATATGATGGTAGAGCAGGGGAATCTTTCCCTCTTACTGCTCCCGCACTCAGTTCTGCTTTCTCCAGCTGGGTTCACTTCCACTTTGAAAGCTTTGGTTTGCCAAGGTGGATCATTATTTAAACAAACAGAACAGGCTGCCAGGTGAGGGGCGGGCGGGCGGGCCGGATTTCTGCTGTGGTCTCAAATTCTCCCCCGCCACTGATATTATGGGGGACGCATAAAACCAGGTGCCTCCTGGTTTGTACACAGCACCAGTGCCTGCCTTGTCCCTTCTCTCATTTCTTTTTTAGAGCAATCCCAAGGGGGCCAGCAACAAAACAGAAAAGCGCAGTGGCTCATTTCGCTCCACGGTGGTCCGAACGCCCGCTGCCACAGAATCTCGTAAAGGCTACAAAGACCTTGAGACCAGCCACAAGGCGGGAGACCCACGAAAGGAGGCAAACGTGTGGGACCACCTCGGGCTGTTCTCAGGAAAGACAGCCAGTTAAGCTTCACAAACAATTAAGAGAAGCTGAACAGAACGCAGTGGAAAGAGGCAAACAGGCCTTCCGCGTTAGGTGCAAGAAAATGTTCTACAGGCTTTGGAACGAATGGAGCGCACAAGACGACAGTAAGATTGCGGTATCCACAGGGCAACGGCTCCAGGCGCCTTCTGCGGATGCTGAAAAATGCGGAAGTATTGAATGCTATACACTGCATGGTCACTGGCTCCCTTTAGTGGCCAGTTCTCATAGCCACACCCTGGAAATACATATAAATACATATTTCTAGGGGTGTGTGTGTTATTTAGTATTTTCAGGCAGTGGATAAGTGAATCTGTGGATACTGATCCCGCGGATAAGGGGGTCCTGCTGTATGTTAACATGATAAATGGTCCTTAGCGGGAACTGCCACGTCAATGTGAGCGGAGGTCCACCAGCCTAGTGGTTGGGGCAAAGGGCTGATTCTAACCATGGAAGCCCACCAAGCCACTCACAAAATCAGCCTTTCTTCCTTCTTCCTCCTGGACTTCTAGTTTACAAGGAAGACTCTTGTCAGGACTACAGAGAGACCAGTTTTCAGCAGTTCCAAAGTGCACTCTTTATTTATTCATGTATTGCTCTTTTAAGACATCTACTAAATGAAGTTCTCTGTGGTTCTTATCCTTCATTACAGATTAAGGCACATCAGTACCTTTTACATCTATTGATCTGGCAAGCTTTTGAGTTACACAGAGTGCTTTGTCTGTGCTTTATGAAAGGATAGATACAGGCTAGTTGATCCCGTAAAGCCACTATTACTTTGCCTTAAATCTCTCCCTTCCAATACTTCTAGTGACCTGTGAAAGTCACTGGAAAATTGCAGAAGCAACGGCGACGCAACTCCAAACTAAGATAATATGGGTCTCTGTATATATAAGCATGGGAGTGCCTCCTCTTGTCAGATGAGACGTCTTAGTTGAGTCTTGGCTGCAATGGGGGAAAATTTAATTATTTTCCTTCTTACCTCATCTTTTTCAAGGTCTTCATCGATTTCAAACACGTGGCTGGGAATCTTGTCTGGCCTGAAGGATTTGCTAAGGAAACACAAAAACACATTCTGGAGTTAATAATCAAGAAGCAAAAAAAAAAAAGTCCATAAAAATATCTTGTGTCATATGATCCAATAGTGAATGGCCCACAGAGGTTACATCCAGAAATCGCTAGAAGAAACCACTCACAGGGATGTAGCTTCTGTTAAGAAGAAGAAAAATTACAGGAAACTGAGGATTTAGGAAACAGTTTTTCCGATCTGGTATAAAATAGTTTCCTTCTTTATTTGTCCTTATAGCTTCGCGTTCCTTACTCCAAAGGGCGCCAAGCTTGAGAACTGCAGGATGTACTTTTATTTCTTAGATCTAAGATGCCAAGAAGTTGGCTGGATAGCTCAGTGGCTTAGGTCTCTGGCTGCAGAACCAGAGGGTGTGAGTTCGATTCCCCACAGGACCTTCTGGGAGAAGAGCCAGCCTGGGTGGCCTTGGGCAAGCTGCCCAGAAGTTTCCTCATAAGAAGGGAAGGTTAAATCACTTCTAAGTACTCTCTTCCAAATAACCCTAAAAAGGGTCACCATAAGTCAGAATTCACTTGATGGCTCATGATGATAATTATTTTAAGATCTACCGATGGATGGGAAGCGGAAGCGACACCTCCTTCGACTGAAGGAATTCGAAGGCCCAGGGGTGGTTTTATATCCGAGAACCGAAACGAAGCTCAGAGTCCTTTTCCACAAAAGGACCCAGAGATCAAGCTTAGGAGTTTGCCCACAAGGAATACGGCATCTATCCCCATCCCGACTGATCAACTCACTTTATTAAAATCAATCGAATGAGATTTAACGGTCAACCCACTGTGGACATGGAGCTCACCAAGGCCAGCCCAACGGAAACAGGCAGCGGGCGGAATGGAGAACAGTTCTAATGATCGGGGTATTTAGAAGTCCATGGTTAATCAACAAAGTTTGAGAATTTAGCTAACGACAGAGGAACGGAGGGGTTAATTTCACCAAGAGGAGAAGAATATGTCAAATGGCACAGTCTAATGAGAGGAGAGATAGCAGCCCTTATAAAAACAGCCTTAAAGAAGGCAGTGCGGTGTAGTTTTCAAACTGCATTCTGGAACTGGTCGTCCAAAAAGTTACTTTTTCAAGCTCTGCTCAGTTGTAAAATCCTTCCCTGATGGCCTTTTTAATAATCAAAGTTTTTAAAGTTTTGAGTAATTAAAGTTTTGAGAAGGGGAACTAAGAACCATCCAGACCAAAGGCGTTGTTACTGCCAGAAAATATGACTGTGCGCTTGTTTATCGCTGTGAAAGAGAGGCGATGTGCTCGGGGGATGCTGAGGGTTTGTCAAGACTCGGCTGCAAAAAAAAACCTCCTCCTCCCCCCCGCCCCATAGAGAGGCACCCTTACCATGGTAACATCCGGAAATCCCCCGAGTAGTCCTCATATTTGTAGTTCACGACATGCCAGTCTGAGCTGTAGGTTTTAATACACTGGAAAGCAAACGGCAGAAACAGGCCTGTTCAAATATATATATATATATCTGTATATGCTCAAAAAGGGCCATAAAACTCAAGATGATCAACAATGCAATATGAAATCTGCAAATTTACATGAGAGGAACTGAAAGCACCCTCCCGTAAACTGTGGCCATGCCCTAAAACTGTCTTGTATCCCCACACAGGATCCCTGGACCTGGATTTTCATGGGGTCCTACGTAGCCATGCCAGGTTCTTTTTTTAAAAAAAATTCCAAGAGAGAAAGGAACAAGAGGGGATGCTTGTAAGGACAACATGGAATATCCCATCATTACCTCTTTGACAAAGAGACTCTGTGCCTTTTTCAGAGCATCTTCTGGCACGGTGGAGTGAATCGTCCTCCTCTGGCGAGCGACGATGGAGACCTTCAAAGGAACGGAAAACAGGGGCCCCGGATGAGTTGGCAACGAACAGCTTTGGCTCGTGAGGTCAGAGCAGATGTTCAGCTCAAGAACGTGGCACCCGCTTGCTTCGCCATCCCACGAGCCGCTCACCAAGGGAGGGCAAAAGGGGCAGAACCCTCTTAGTGGTGGCGCCAACTCACTTTACAGAAGTGTGCCCTGCTGTCTCCTGACCGCCTTTCAGGCAGAAACTGGGAGTGCTTTCATTCTAGCAGGCTTTGAATGTTTAGCTCCAGAGCTCTTGTTAATCACTTTCACAATTACAGCCTTGAACACTTATTGCACCAATCTGTGGTTCTAAGTTAGTTCGGTCACTTCCGTTGGCTTCTCTGAATACTAATTTGGACACAACAGCCAGGCAGCAGTTACTTATTGGTAACATGGGCACCTGCCAAGCTTTTGGCCAACAGCTTCCAAAATCCTTCTGTCCTGCATGGCCAGACTTGTTTAGGGAATGAGTGCTAGGGTGGCAATTCAGCCCTGCAACCTGGCACCATGGGCCCTATTGTCTGGAGGATCCTGGGAGTTGTAGTCAAAGAAAACCCTTTCCCAAACTCAGCCCAAAGATGGTAGGGTCTCAAGGAAAAATGCCTAGTTGTGAATACGGTAGGATTGTGGTATCCGCTGGGTTCCAAGCCCCTCTGTGGATGCCAAAAAAAGACACAAGTGTCAAACGCTACACATTGCATGGCCTCTGACTCCTTTAGGGGCCAGTATGGGTAAATACACCCATGAAGTACATACACATTGGTATTTGGGGGTTTTTGAATTTAGTATTTTTCGGCAGCGGATAAGCAAATCAGCGGATACAGAGAACGGGGCCCTATTGTGCAGCAGCAATCAAATCAGGCCCAAAACAGGAACTCACCGAGGCATCTTCCATGGGAAACATAAGCAAGTCCCGGAGCGGATCGCTGTAAATCTGCGCTTTCCTTTGAGAGATGACATTCTCGTAGTCCAAGGGTTCGATCACCTTCGTTTTTTCCTGGTGGAGATAACGAGAAAAGCACATGAAGGTGATGTGAACGCTGTCGAGAGAAAACCTGCCAGCAACCGGGTTGCTTCGCCCGCGGGCAGATCCTTGACCAGACGGGCAAAAGGGTCTCTCTTCCGCCCAACGACCCGAGCTTCTGAGGTTGGTCTCTCTGGGTCATCATTTCCAAAATCCCCCCCTCCCAGCAAGCAAAGACAGCACTACAACGCCCAGAATCCCCCAGCAAGCATGGGAGATTCTGCAGGCTTTGCTCTTTTTGAAAAAACCCACACATTTTGCAAACTGTACGGAGCCCCCACCGTCATAACACCGATTCCATGCATTTGGCTTCCTCACGCCCCTGGCTATTGAAAAGAGTAATCGGCACCAGGATAACCAGGTGACGAGAGTCAAGCGAAAGCTCCCTCTTCTTTCTCAGCCTGGAAAGAAGGTTGCAAGGGCCACCCCAGGCTGCCTGAATCTCTATTCTGGGATTTGCCATCCCAGTAAGGAACTTTTTCAAGCTCTGCCGCTAAGTGTGCATCGTACGGGGTTGCAGTCACAAACACACGCACACACACACACTCTCCAGTCTACAGGCTGGAGAGTGGAAAGCTTCCCTTGCAAGGGAGGGAGGGATCCAGCCTGGGCGGCTGCAGGAGGGAAGATGTTCTTGAGAAGTTTGATAAGAGAGTGATGGGGAAGGTCAGGAGTTCAGCCGGAAAAGGACGGGCATATGACAAGACCTCCAGCTTCAGCTGCTGCCTTGTGATGGGCACGGCTCTCCCGTTTAATCACAGCGGGTTGGAAATGTTAAACTCACACGCAACAAAACAACAGGGTGGTTAGCCTGCTTTGATGCTCAAGGCCCCTGGCACACAGACCCCACTTCTCCTGCAGCGAAATCAAGGATTTTCTCCATGCCACGACCCTGGGAGGTTGTCCAAACTCAGAGCCAATGACTGCCGCATGTTCGCCTGGGGAATGTCCTGGCTCAGTGAGGACTAGAACCTTGGACTCTGAAATCCCAGGCAAACGGTCCTCCGAGCCTTGCACTACTCCGGCTCTGCCTGGCGACTCAAGAGCCGTTACTGGGGGGAACTCTGTCTGGCTCTTCTCCCAGGAGGCCCTGGGGGGGGGGAATGAAACTCCCGGCCTCTCTGGCTCTGCAGACGGATCCCCAACTCACTGAGCTAATCAGTACTTTGCAGCCAACAAACATTATTAATAAGCGATGCTGTGAAATGAAGAGCTCTCCTCCTCTCCTGCTGCTGGAAGACTTTGCTGTTCCTTCCACTCTTATTGCCTTATTCTGCAATATGGGCGTTCTTTGAATTCCTCAGGCTGATTAACTGGGAGAAGGGAAGGGATTTACTAATCTGAATTAAAGGCTCAGGACCGCTCTGCCGATCTGGGGTTGGCATGAAATAGCTTCAGGGACCTGTGGGTTCCTGCCCTCTTTGCAAACGGGAAGGAGCGCTGCCGGAATGACTTGCCCCCTGCACAAGGATCCTGCCCCACTGAACTGCTGTTCGCCTTTTCGCCAAATAGCTTCACGTTTTTGCCAGACCGTGAAACAGGACGCAGGAGGTCACGGGGCAAATGGGAGCAGGCAGAGGGTGGGAAGTCGCTTTCGGAAAATTGTTCCTGATCCTTGTTCCCGAGGTTAAAAGCAGCAAAGAATCTTGTAGCGCCTAGAAGACAGGTCATGTTTTATTTGGAGTTTGCGTATGTGGGTCAAAACTCGTGTCTCCATACCTTTATTCATTCAAAATGCTTCTGCCTCGCCTTTCTTCCAGAAAGGACCAGAGGCGGCTTACACGATCAAAACAGAAACAATATTAAAAGCCAAAAACAACAAGTTATTGTAATATTTATAAAAACAAAACAAATGTAACATTACATCCAATAAAGTGAGCCGGAACCTACCGCCCAGAGTGGTAGAATATACCAGATAGGTGGGATACAAACAAACAAAGAAATAAATACCAAAGATGAAGCCGAAACAAACAAATAAACAAATAAATAAATACCAAAGATGAAGCCAAATAAAGGTGGCCTTTGAGACCTGCTGTTTATTTCACTGCAAGAGATTATTTTCTGTATGTTTTTAATTTCAGCTGATTGCTCTCTGTGTTTTTATCTCTGTGAACTGGCCAGAATAGTGTGTTGCGCTAAAGGGGTGGTAAACAAAAAAACAAACAAATTAGATTAGCCAAAAAGACAGCTTTGCAGGGTGATTTTATGGGTGACCTCTTTATGCAGCCCCAAAGGACGGATGTCATGGTGACCCGAAGGTTTTTTTTTTCCTGGCACCTAAGAGGTTCCAAGGATGGTTTCCCCATTTCTACCCCCTCTCCCACCAGTGAGTCTCCGTAGCTATGGCAGGATTTGAACCCAGGTCTCCCGAGTCCTAAGCTGGCATTCTACCCACTTTGCTGTCCTGGTTCCCTTTGTGCTGAGGGTCTCTCGGTGCCCAAGACTGAGGCCCTTGTCAATGTGGCCGGGGCTGTTTTCTCCCGCTTCTTGGCAGCTGTAGGTGCTCCTGAGCTGTCATGGCGCCCACATATCTGTCGCTTGCCTGCCATCCGGGGGGGGGGGCATCAATCAAGCTCGTTACTGCATTTAAATAAAGCTTCAGCAATTAGCATGGAGGAGGTTTTGGGGTTTGTTTTCGGAGGGCGGAACACCATATGGCAGAAATGCGAAGCCTTGGTTCCTTGTTAGCATGGCAAAGAGGAAGTGATTAGCGCTGGTAGGTTCCCCGAGCCTTTTGCAGGCAAATTTCAAAACCAGCTCTGCTCCTTTCTAAGCCGCTATCGCCTAATTTGAAGCCTTTTGCGGCTGTTCTCCCTCTTAACACCGTACCTGGGAATGGGGGAAACATTTCTGCTTTTAGCGTTGGACAAAAAAGGCCTTCTCGAAAACGGGACCCTTCTTCTTAGGATGCTCAGGACTGATCCATCCTCCAAAGATATACATTGCTTTGCTGCAATCCCTAAAAGCCATTTTCAAGCACCATTCGATAAAACAGGTTCCCCTCCCCTTCCTTCTTCTTCATAATCCACAACAGTAATTTCATTTCCCATTATCGAAAAGCTCACACACGGTCGTTAAGAGGACAATTCTCCTCCCCAATTAGCACAGGGGCAGTTATAGTGATGAGGCAGAAAGCAAGCAAGCAAAACAGAAACCAACCGCCAGGGACCTTAAGCAGCTCTGAAGATAGACTGCAATACCATAAAAGGCTTTGCTAGAGAGATGCTGATGCCCAGCAGGTATTCAACTGATACCTCTCAGCACTAAGCAGCCCTTAATCATCATCATCATCACGTCTTGTCAAGTCAATTCTGACTTCTGGTGACCCTTTTTGGAGTTTTCCAGGCAGAGAGTACTCAGAAGCAATTCCCCATTCCCTTCTTCTGGGAATATCCTGAGACAGTGCAGCTGCCCCAAGGCCACCCAGGCTGGCTTTTTTTCCTCTGGAGGTCCAGTGGAAAATCGAACTCACAACCTCTGGCTCTGCCGCCAAATAAATATCTAGCTCACGGAGCTATCCAGCCAGCCAGCAGCCCCTACAGACACAGAGAAGATGATCAAGGGTAAGGACGAGTCACTGGAGGCCAAGACCAAGATCACCCACATTTTTGTATTCTTGATCACCATGAATGGTTGTGAAAGCTGGGCAGTAAAGAAAGCTGAAAGGAGAAGAAACCCCGATTTGTCTGAAATGTGGTGCTGGAGGAGAGCTCGGCAGATCCCCTGGCCTGTCAGAAAGAGGAACAAGGAGGTCTTAGAGTCAATCAACCCTGGACTACCTGTGGAGGTAAAAATGACGAAACTGAGGCTGTCCTGCTTTGGGTACATCCTGAGAAGGCAGGATTCTTTGGAAAAGGCCATAAGGCTGGGAAAGGTGGAAGGCAGCAGGAAAAGAGGAAGGCCCAATGCAAGATGGATGGACTCCCTAAAAGAAGCCACAGGCTTGAGTTTGAAAGAGCTAAGTGGCCTTGGCATTTTGGAAATCGCTGATTCACAGGCTCCCCCTAAGGCACAGCCAGCTTGACTGTACAGAACAACAATAGATACAGAGGAGATGAAGGAAGGGATTCTTCCCATGTTAGCAGCTGGCCCTTCTCTGAGAAGAGGGTGCAACCCTCCTGCCTCCAAACAGAATAACCGGCAGGGTGTTTTGAAGCAGAGGCAGCTGCTGCCCACGGGGACCAGGAGGGGACGGGTGGCCGACAGCAACGGAAGCCCAAGGTAACCCTGGGCAGAGTCAAATGATATGGCTTTTGTCCCCTTTCGCTCCTTTTGCACGAATAATGAAATACAATTCCTTAACATTGAAATGAACGGGGGAAAACAGTCCCTCGTGTGGGTTTGGTAGGTTTCCGCCTTCTGGATCGAGA